CAGCAATGCTGTTGCAGCTTTTGTGCTGTATGGGACATAGCGAATTTCAGCTAGAGTTCGACCATTCCGAACTTCTGGCGTCCAAACGCCAGGAGCAAGCCAGGCGGAGAATCTGCGCTCGGAGTGGGGGTAACCGGCCAAACGGATCTGGCTTCCAGACGCAAGGTGAAAAGGCAGCTTAAGGTTGGATTCACATGGAGCGTAATTTGCGTAGCGTAACCTGCGTATCACCAATCACAGGGTCATTCTGATAGAACCGTTTCAATAATTCCGTTGAAATTATAGTTCTGTGATTGGTGATACGCAGGTTACGCTTACGCAAGTTACGCTCCATGTGAATCAAGCCTAATAGAACTCCATATTACCTCCGCGATAAATATATCGTCTGTAAATCTATCACAGACGTCTAATGGATATCTATGACAGATGATACATGGATAGATATATTTGTACACGTACATTATTATCTTTTTGTTATATTTCTTTCTTTATATTACCTTTTCACGTTTTTACCAAAACAATATTTAATTTTAATATAAATGTTAATTATAATTTTCAAATGTATTGAAAGTACATTTAAAAATATGTAATATTATATATTCTATACATATAGATGGATAATGGATATCCATTAGGGGTTATATAGATGAATAATGAACATCCATTAGAGATTTTGTATAGATGAATTATGGATGTTTCTAAAATATTTCTAGCTTAATTACTAAAGAAGGCGATTGAAAACACCAAAAATGCAGAAATTGTAAAAATCTTTTTTTTATTTTTATTGTAAAATCAACAATAAATATTACAAATACAAATCAATATAAAAAAATATCTCTCCCTCTCGCTCTCTCTGAAAACTATATTACTTATTACTATTAATTAATTAATGTAGATGTATGGATTCGATTGTCCATCTGAAACATACATAAAATCGATTAACCCAAGGAAAATAAAAAGTCAAAATGACGTCAATTTGATGTTATATTGACCAGATTTGTGTCATATTTTGGTCAATATAACATCAAACTGACGTCATCTTGACTTTTCATTTTTCCTTGGGAAGCTTATTGCAAGACTTAGACAGTAAGCGTGTATTAAGCAATCATAAAGGGAGACAACAAGACTCACGAGAATTATTTCGTTTCGAATAATCATCGTTACTGTATTTAACTGTAATCATTTTTACTGTATTTACTGTACTTGACAAATCTACTATGCTATATCATCCAATTTTATTAGGCACTACTACAAATCTTATGCAGCTCTGCGATTTAGGTAATGCAACATAGAAAACTGGCTGTCCGTATATTACAGCTGTGAATTTGCTAAGCTAATAGGATTTTTGTTGTCGTAACATCTTTTTTTCCATGCGCAGCTTGTAGAGCGAGAATCTTTTTACAGAATACAGGACGTAATGTTTTATAAAAGATCAATATTTCTACATGTTATTTTGTTAAATACATTCACACAATTGCAGATTAGAAATTTCATATAAAAATTTAACATATAATTTAATGTTTTTCTATCGGGATTCAGCATATTTCCATCAAGGAATACACAATATGTATATCGCGATTCAATTATAGAATGGTTGTCGTATTAAAATCCGACAACCGAAAAGCGACATATCATTCTTAAAACGGGCTAAAGCAAAAAAACACTTTTGTTAATTAGAAATATTTATTTCAATTTTTCTCTTGATATATCATGACTGTATGTCGATACAAGATAATGTTTTATTTTATCGCGCGAAGACCTTGAGGAATACGTCACGCAATTCTAAACCAATAATCTATCATCGATCACAATGCGCGAGCGATCCATTTCGATTGAACATTAATGTCGTGTATCTACGAGTAAACTCGAATCGATCTCAGTTTAGCCTTCCTTATCGTTAGAGGTACGTTTCTGTAATATGCCACGATGCATATGTCGCTCGTTATGACGAGGAACTGATAGCAGACGTTTATCGTTCGATCGCTGCTGTTTTCAACGATTGCTTAATTGTTGCGACGCACAAAAGAGAAGTTTCAACAAACAATTTACCCGTATCACTTACTAGATCATAGATTTTTTCCTGACCATACAGACAGAAGTTCAATCGATCGTAGCTTATCACGAATTCGACAATACCACACGCAATTAATATAGTATCACCACATTATCCTACGTAAAGAGCAAAAAGGTAAAAAAAAAGAATATCATGCAAACTTCGGATTTACGCGAAGTAAGCGGTAGTCGAAGTGCGATGTACGTTATTTTGTACTTTCATAAATAACGTGATCGCGTCCCTTTGACATAGATGACGATGGAGCACGAGCTATCGTGCCAATCTTACGTTAGGTGAGAATCTACGACTAAATGCATTCTCAATAGTAAAAAAAAGAATATATATTTTTTCCGGTCGCTCTAGGTGGGAGATAAGTCCTGTGAGGTGAGATCCAACTTGACGGCGCCGGTAGCGAGGATAGGAACGTGCGTAATCTGAAACGAAAATTGGAGTAATGTAGCGGACGCTACGTATACGAACATCGTGGGGAACGCAAGCCGCGTCGTTCGTACGCGCTTGCCGAGGGAATATCGCGAAGTGGGAATACTGCGCGTTACGCAACCGAGAGAAAGACAAATAAACACGCGCGTATGGTGTCATGTGAGTCATCGCGCGTTAAGATAGTTGGCGCAGATAGCGAAAGTAAGACGCAATATGCTGGCGCGCGCGCTTGCTTTTCGCGATAATTGGCGACGAGAAGACGGGGCGTCGACTCGCGAAACGGATTTCGAGGCCGAGCGATCGAACGTTGACGAAAGGATCAACTTACGCGAATGTGAGCGCTTTGACCTTCTTCATTAGTCTATCTTTCAAAATATACAAAGGAGTAAATTTAAAAATTAATTAAATACTGTCAAACAATCTGAGATGATAATTTCTGTCAAATTAATAAATTTAAATTAATCGAATTTGCAGACGAAAATTATTACAAATTATTTGCAATATCTGTATTGTCCTGAAAATCGCTAAACATGAATACGATACTTGCGTTTATGATACTTAAAGATACTTTAGATACTTGAGATAAATTCATGTTCAACTAACTTCACACACAATAGCCTTCGGCATGAAGGACGGAGTGAGTGGATCGAGTCTCGCTGCTTTCTTTTATCTTCATCGCTGCGAGATAAAAAAATTGCGTCATTCTCGCTCGGCAATAAAAGCGAAGGCAGTAAGAAAGAAGACTGAACGCGCCTACGTGTTGCTCTGAACTTTTCCCATTGTTATCTATCTTTCCAAATATACATATTTAAAAAATAGATAAAATTTCGTAGAACGATTGAACATAATTTTTATCAGTTAACAAATTTTAATTTATCGAAATGAATCGCAGACGAAAATTACGAATTATCTCTGTAATTCTGTACCGAAGGCTACTACGCATGAATGTGATTGAGATACTTGCGTTTAACTTCAAGATAATTTCAGAGATATTCAGCTAACTTCACATACAATGGCCTTCGGCGTGAAGGGAGCGACGTGAGTTAAGTGTGCTCGAATCTCGCTCTAAGAAATAAAGGTCTGGGAATCGCGTCATCTTCGCTCGGGGAACAAAAGCGATCGCGCATCGATCACCTCGGATTATGTGTTGATAATCGAGCTGGAATCGACGCGGCGCGGAGGCCTCACCTCTACGCCTTGCTCTTGCTCGTGCTCGTGCTCGTGCTCGTGTTCGTGCTCGCGCTCGTGCTCGTCTGCCGTTTGTTGTGCTCGGTGTTCATTAGCTTGGTAAGAATCTTTCTGGAATGGCCGCTCGGGTCGAAATGATTCGTGTGCGCGACGGCTTCGCGTTTGCTCCTCTGCTTGCCGCCGTGCGCGGTAAAGATGTGCTTATCGTAGTCGTAGTTGAAGTGCTCGTACTCGTCGACGTGCGCCTCGGACATAGTTCACGAGATTCAATTTCTCGGGGACGCTTGCGGAAAGGAAGTCGCGGCGCGACGCAAATTGCACGAAATGCTACGCTTGTGAAACGGCTCGACCGGGGAGGATCGATTCGACACTGGTCGCGCGGCGCTTGCCGACCCGGGTTTATATACAGCGGCCCATTCGCGCGGGCCGGGCATGCGCGCTTCGTACGCGCGACGTCGCCAGGCTCGGTCTCTTGGACCGACGATGGTTCCTTCGAAGATGACTCGGCTTTTGTGTGTATTAATGAATTTAATATGTAATATTGTAATTCCTTTTCGTCGATTCCGCGTGGAAGGAAGAAAAAGAGGGGAAATGTCTTCCCTCGCGCAATTTCGTGCAACTGCGCAGTATCGGCGCGCGGAGACACGTAGCCTTCGCGGCGCCGATAACATATCGAGAAGTTCTATTTCGATCTGGCTTTTTCGTGAAATTATGCAACTCTTCGATTATCTGTATTAGCCGCAGGAAAGAAATAAATAAATTGCGCGAGACAAAGTTCGTGGCGCAATGTTACAACAATGTTACGTACATCGTGGAAAGTCAGTAAGAATATTTTTATTTGTGATTTTAGGGCCCCCTGCGAGCAGAGCGTCGAACGTTTTCAAGAAGAAAAGTTTAAGATAAAAATGCTCGGCAGTGCTGCTTGTGAGTAATTCACCCGGAAACGTCGTTAAAGCCTATGAATGTACGTATTTAGCTATAACTTGTTAAAAATTGTACAGCAATTTTAAGTAACAATTAAGCTTCCATTATCTTGCCAGATAGCAATGCATGTCTAAAAGACAACTTAATGCCGTCTTAATTACTTGGCGACCAACTCGTCGAATAATATCTACATCACCATTCAAACATTTGGAAGTAGTCATGTTTTTCAGTTAAACAAAAAATTATATGTTAATATTGTTCAAAGAAATCGTCTGTAATAAAAATTTGTCATACGTTTCGTTTACTTTGTAGAAAACATATTTCTTTCTAATCACGTCTCTCAAAAATTCTTTGCTTCATCGCATTGAATGTACGACTGCATCCAAACTTTTGAACAATATTTATTAATCATTTTGTTAATATGGGTAGAATTATTAATAACACAAAGAAACGCCTTGGACAGTCAGGCTGGATCTCGGTGCTGAATGGTATTTCTCGCATTTCTTCTTTTGCAACACACCAAACTATATACGCGCCGATGATTTTCGATATTGAAACAGTCTGAATTGAAGTCGAAATAGTGTACATAATTAAATTTATAATCAATTTAATGATTGAAGAATGATTAGGAAATTATTAATATTTTAATATACAAGACAAAATGACGCATTATACCATCTTCTGTTTTGCATATTAAGCTAGAAGTATTGTGTATATTTGTATCATTTTGGTTGTGCGACCTTGCCGGTCGAATTAGTCAAGTACAACATTCGGAGCTTAATTAGAATCCTCAATCTTAATTTATTTTATATATTCTATCAGGCAGGTGTATCAATGCGAGTGCGTGTTATATTACATTTACATTGTTAAGTAGGAAATTATAATATTGATGTTATGTGACTGTTACTTGGTATTTACTGGGTATATGTAGATACTGTTATCTCTGTACGAGCCAGATATTGAAAATCTCAGTGAAATAATTTAACGCGCTAATATTTAGTCATTGAACGACGCAATGTTGAAAGCATGATCGCCCTGGCGAAAATAATATGTTTATAAGAAGTTTGTTTAAATGTTGAGTCAATGTTTTGAGTTTTAAAACATTTATTGAATTGTTTGTGAGATATAAATTTAAACATGAAGTTGTTTATGACATGTTCACGGTTACAAGTGTTCAAATTGCGTTTAATGATACAATGTCAAACGTTTCAATTATAGTTTTCTAAGTGTTTGTACAATGTTATTGTCAGTAAAGAATTAACCAGGTGTTTGCAACGTATTTCTAAACAGTGTAACCGTCAATAAAACTCTTCATAAACAATGCAACTATCGATAAAACTCTTCACAAATAAATATAAGCATCATCTCTCACTTAAAATTTTCGCCAGGGCGGGTATTAAAAAACGGCAGAGTGTAATTTAACGTTATCACGAGATTTCCTACAATTCTCTTCGTACAGGAGGATCTTCGCTCCCGTTGTATCCAGCAGTCATTATTCACGTGACTAATCTATACGTTCGAGGCGACCCAGAAAATTCCAACACGTAAGCTCACCAAGGTGCATTGCCTTCCGTGAGTTCTATAGAGCGCGGTATTTTCAGCGTCAGTGCGATCGCACGGGAGTGTGCTGTGTTTAGCAGAGCGCGTATTGGTCCCGAAGGCGGCTTAAGCTCGTGTCATACTGTTGCGAATTCGAATCAAATTGAGATGACGGCTCGCGGCTCGGAATTCAGACAATTAGACAATACAACCTCGGATCCGATTCGTCATCTCAACAATACATAGTATGACACGGGCCTTAAGGCGATCCTATGCAGCATTAAATAACGTAAAGGTCGAATCAGACGAGCAATTGTCGATTCGGATTAGATTGGGATAGGCGATTGACAATTTCAACTTTTTCTTCATGTTTTATACTTTTCAAAATTTTCAAACTTTTTTTATATGTAAATATAAACAAAAATAATGCTTTTTTTCAAATAAAGCTTGCTTTTTACACAATGTTTATCAATTTTGGTCAAACATTTTGTTGACAGTAACATTGGAATAGAGCATATCGCAGCTTGTATTGTACGAAATACACGGGAGATTGGTCGGCAGGATTTCGGCTACAATTCTTATCCAAAATAAACCACCGACAGTGCTTATTAAACTACAGACTAGTGGCTATGAACCATCGGGTTTGATTTTAAAAAAATAGATTTTCGGATTTTTGTGAAAAGTTTGAATTAAAACTCAAAAATTTTACTAAAAATTGGAACTTTCTAACTGTCAAAACATGATACAGTTAGAAAAATGTCTTGATGGACGATAGAGAATTTAATTACGATTAGATTACGCTTTATTTAAAGTAAATCGGTTATTTTTTTAATGCTGTCAACCAAATCAAGAAACACGGTTTCGACAAAAACGCGTTTAAAGTTTGAAATGATGTACTATGAAAAATAACGGTTGGCATGAACTAATAGCATATCGTGTTTTCAAATCACACCAATACGACTTTTTATGAAAAAGTGCCGACATTTATAAGTCTAATCGATTTATCCAAATCTATAACAAAATAGGATGCGGCTGTGTGAAAACAGGCCCTGTAGACGTGCTGCAGAGCGTTCATACATGTTTACAAAAAAACATTATAGCGCTGTAAATATTAAGAATTTTGATTTCAGGCATTAAAAATAATTTCTTATACTTCAAACTTCAATTTAAAAAAATTAAAAATGCATTTGAATAGTGTGCCGTGTACCTTCCCCCCTCCTCAACGTGAAACGAGAACGGAATCAATTACGAACGTTCTATAGTTTTTGTTACGCTAAACAATAACCCCTACATTTCCATGCGGAATGAGAGCATCGTGGACTTTGCGCATTGTTTCAAATAGGTTACATGAAAATTTGATCAATTTGACTATATGTATCCCTCAGTGATCGAATAGGATCGAATAGCTAACTGTAAGGGCCGATTCCACCATCTCCGATTAATTTAATCGGCCAATTGAGCGTCAACCGTGATTGGTCAATCCTGCTTACGATAAGTGCGATTGGTCAATTCCAATGGGAAAATTTAATCGGATTCAATTAATTGAAGATGGTGGAATTGACCCTTCCCAGATAGAAGGGAGGCCCAGGTTCGAATCAAGACTTAAGTAATATTTTTTGTAAGTTCCCATACTGCATTTATGTCAGAAAGATATCTTTTTAAAGATAGCTTTTGGAGTAATGAAAAAAGATATCTATTAGATAATTATATTAAGATGTCTGTTATAAGGTCTAAAAGGCATCTTGTTTGAGAGATTTCTTATATAAGATGACTGAAAGATATATAATATTTTGAAGAAATGTATTGATATTATGATAAGTCGCCAGTGGTAATTAAAGGAGATAATGCTGACGTCGACCAATCCGGCAAATTTATTGATTAAACGTACAACGTTTCGGCCATGGGTTTTGACCCTTTTCAAGCAGAATTTTGAAGAAAGTTCAATAAATCTCTTCAAATCGACATTACAACGTTATCTTAAAAATGATTTCAATAAGATATCTTTCAAAATTTTATGGTATCTTATTTATGATATCTGTTTAATGTTAATATGGGAAGCCTGTCAAAGTTTCCGTTAGAGGGACGCGCGACATAGTATTTTCTCGTAAAAAAAACCATGCGCATGGTATTTTAAAGTGAGTTCTTTTACTATATGATCTCGGTCTACGCTCGTATAATTTTCCTTCATACTATTTCTATCCTTTACATTGTTAAAAATTCCTTTTAAACTGCTCGTTAAAAATTTCTCACCAAAGGCTTTGCGTTTTAAATATCTGAGAATATATGTCCTATTGATATCATAAACACCTCTTAAAGATATCTAGTTTGAGATGCAATATTGATATGTATTACAGGATATCTCAAAAGTTATAGCGTATGATATAAAACATAAAATAAATAATACCAAGAATTACGCAGTCAATGGTATAACAACATAATGAAGTCAGAAAGAGTTCTTATGCGCTACTTGCGGAGAAATGTCATCAAAAGTCTTTCAAAAGTTATCTTTTTGATGCCTTTTGAAAGACTTTTGATGACATTTCTCCGCAAGTAGCGCATAATTAAGGGCTCTTTCTGACTTCATTATGTTGTTATACCATTGACTGCGTAATTCTTGGTATTACTTATTTTATGTTTTATATCATACGCTATTTTGTATTTCTTAACTTATAATTCTTACTTTATACTGAAGATGGTCCAATGAGAACTGAAACGTATATTCATTTTTAATTAAAGAACTTTTTAGACACTACAACTCTGTCTAGGCTCTGAGCCCTTTCTATAATTACGTGATTTTTATCATATGAGCCATTGTCATTTATCATTATGTTGTCTTTCTGAAGGTATTTTTGCATGTCTAAATCTTAAATGAGAGAACATTAAGAAATCTTTTGTTATCATCTTGCTGTGTGAGTTATGTACAGATTTTTTTATAAAAAATGCTCAATCAGCATTATTAAATTGGTCGTCAATTTACTTTCGACTTTAGTTTCATACTGTGTGCTAAGACCGATAAACCTTTGGGAAAATGTTAGAAAACCTTAAAATTGTTACTTGTGTATGTAAAACTGGCGTCTCATATCGTGGAAACTCATTAACTATTGAGAGTTCTGGCTTCTTTTTGAATAGTTCTAGAGTTCCTGATACATTAAACAAATAGTTCTGGCCTTTAAAGCGAAAACATTGATTAGTGCAAAGTGAGACGCCAACTTCACCCAGCGTCTCACTTCGTCTTCCGCCGATTTCTCGACGGCTTCTTGACAGATTTCAAATGCCCGAGACTTCTACAATAGTTCTAGCAAGAGTTCTGGTGAAAAAACGTTGTTTCTCAATTTTTTAATAATTTTTACCACTCGGGAAATATATCTTAATACAGATGAAGGTGAGACGCTGGTCGAAATTTCAGAGTTCTGACTGTTCTAAAACAGTTCTCGTGCAGTTTCGAACGTATCCTTGTGTTTTTCGAAGTGTTCTATGCACTAGCATACTTGTATGATTTTTAAAACAATTAAATTCCCCGAAAAAGTGACCTAAAAACAGATACATATGAGACGCTGGTCGAAATGTCAGAGTTTTGACTGTTCTAAGACAGTTTTCGTGTTTTTAAAAAATTATGCAAGTATGTCAGCCCATAGAACTCTTCGGAAAACAAGAGAATACGTTAGAAACTACCCAGATAACATGCATGTCTAAAAGACATCTTTAAGATGTCTTTAACACGTCTTTTAGACATCTTTTAGACATACACGTCTAAAAGATATCTTAAAGACGTTTTAAAGAAGTCTTGAAGATGTCTTTTAGACAAGTATGTTATCTGGGTACGCGAGAACTGTTTTAGACACACAAAACTCTGAAACGTCGATCACCTTCGTCTGTATTAAGATATATTTCTCGAGTGATAAAAATTATTTAAAAATTGAAATACCACGTTTTGTCATCAGAACTCTTGCTAGAACTATTGTAGAGCTCTCGGGCGCTTGAAATCTGTCAAGAAGCCATCGAGAAATCGGCTGAGGACGAAGTGAGACGCTGGGTGAAGTCTCACTTTGCACTAATTGATTTTGTCGCTTTAAAGGCCAGAACTATTTGTTCAATGTATCAGGAACTCTAGAACTATTCAGAAAGAAGCCAGAACTCTCAATAGTTAATGAGTTTCCACGACATGAGACGCCAGCTTTACATACACTTGTTACTTTGATACAATTTTAACCGCATGATCACTAATAATAGATGAATATTTTATAAATATTATTTTAAAATTACAAGTCAGCCATTCTGCTAAGGCCTTACGTTCAAAGGCGAAACATCTCATCGTATCTCGTCTCCGGTGTTAAAGGAAACATCGAGGAATTGCGTAGGCATTCCGCATAATCATTGCGTCAAGATCGAAAAACTTTGTGAGAACGCGAGAGATAGAAAGGAACAAATTGAAAGAAACAGAAACGGCTATACGATGTATTTGAGATGTTAACGTGTACATCATACACGGTAGGAAAAGCGTATGCAAGTCGTATTCTAATCGTTCGCGAGTAGGACGTGACACTCACATTCTACCTTGCGGAAAGGCGGCAAAACGCTCGTAAACCAGGACGTAAACAACTTGGGAAATATTTTGTTGTTACATTCACCGAGTGGTTATGGATATCACCGCGCGGTACTGCTGCGGAGGAAAGCCGATATCACGCATTAACACACGCACAATCAATCGAGCTTGCTTCTACAGTCGTATGATGTCGACGCGCCAAGCGAAGTTACCGAAGCGTGAAAAACAGACACGTCAAGTCACTGATGAAATTTCTAGATTAAACAACTTTGTATCTTCGAGTTCTGTAACTTTGTTTTACACCTGAATTCTGTCCGGCAGTAATTAACGAGGTTTTCTCCTTGACACGTTAGTAAATCGATAACTACGTTGAGGATAGTAAAATTGATAAATAATATTGCTTAGCTATTGTTTGTTATTCACAGGAAAATTTGATACGTTCACGGAGCTCTTGCTTCGATAGGAAAATTATAGAAACATTGCACAATAATGACATCATAAATTAATGAAATTTTCGCAAAAATTGCGCTAACAATACGATGATTCGTCAGAATGCAGCAATTTTGTCGGAATAAAACATCTAAAGTTAAACAAATCCAAGTTGAAATATAAATATTTTATAATAATTTTACTGTACTAAATATGTATAATAATATCTCATATTGCAATATATTTTTATATTTAGAAATAATTGTGCATTTCTATAATCATATATGTATATAATAGGTACACTGAAAAGAATCCTCATCTATCTACTCGGATAATCCAATTACATTAACAAACGAAGAATAAGATCGATTTTTCAATTTAATTTGACTACAATATTATTATTATAGATAAACTTTATCGAATATACCCATAATTTAATCGGAAAAATTAATCAAGAATTAATCATCAGAAACACTACTTAATCGGTTTACCCAATAGAAATTTTTCTCAGTGTAAGGCTTAATTTGATTTATTCATACACAATTATATTTCTAAAGGTTTTGAATATAATACAACTAAAATATTTTTTTTTATTTATTGGACAATTTCTTTCCAAAATTTAATTTTGCAACTGTACTGCTAAGATTATTCTCCATATTATTACTATTATGCCAAAGTAGTATGTATACTAATTGTATAAACCATTATTAATGTTTTATAAAAGATCAATACTTCTATCTATTTCTTAAAAATGTATACTCACATAATTGCAAATTACAAATTTCATGCAAAATTTCATTTATATAATTTCATTAATGTTTTTCCTTTCGACATTAGTGAGTCGATAATAATATGTCAAAGACAGTAAAATTGACAAATAATATTCCCTTGATATCGCTTGCTGTTCACGGAGATATTTGACACGGAGAGTCCGTTCGTGTGTTTTTGCAGCGCGACGTGTATATTTATTCAAGCGGATATCACTGATGCTAATTAACTATACAAAAACAGATGTTTTATATTCGAATGTTTATACTCGATTCCTTATCCAATGTTCTCATATAAAGTGTCGTGTAGTTTCCTCAGGTGCAATATGTTGCGAATCCGGCACATCATTTTTATACTCGAAACATTGAATTACTCCTTCGTTCACGGCAGTTTTATTTTCAAGGTCGAGCATTGATACGGTCGACGGATTATCTCAACTAGGCGCGAAATACGTGCTCGTTCTCGCACGCACTCAACGTCGTCGACACAAGGCGTCGTTTAATTATAGCTTATGGAACCCGCTATCTTCGCTAAGTCAGCGGAGATGACAAAGTTCAGCCGCGACTTCTTCCTCCTCTCCTTCTCACTTTTGGCATTTACAAAAATGCCACGCGAACGAAATCGTCAATCGCATTCGAAGGACAGCGACGATCGGACGAGAGGAAATCGGATGCGAATACGTGGTGCCGTTAATCGATTTGATCCTGAGATAGTTAGCATTAAATCGGCCTCCGGCTTGCTCTCAATCTGCTGGCGACTAGCCGAGAATCCTCCAGGACGGTTACAGGAACAGGTTTCTTCGTCGAACTGTAGTAGGGGAACCGCTAATGCAACGTCTTATGTTTACTTATATTTGTAAGGCGCTCCCAAAGTGCCGCCTTGGCGTCGTAGAAAGCTCCATGACCCCGAAGCAAGGGGACTAGAAGGAGAAACGGGCAGTGGCGTGCTAAGAATACGAGGAATAATTTCCCTCTATCTGTTGTTAAGACGGCGTATTACTCGGTACATTATGAAAATTCGTTTCTATTGAGCAGGAAGATTATACATATTAAAACAAAAATTGTAACAGAAGAATTCGTTAGGGGATCTCATAGAAACTAGCCCGAGACGTACGACGGGATGTGGGAATTGAGGTGGGACGTCCGATACGTGGTACGGAATATCTTAAAAACGGGAAATAAATCGCCAGCATCGAGGTTCTACGCCTATAAAAAGCTCGGCGAGGCTATAAAGACTGTCAGTAAGTGGCACGTCGGTGAAACGATGAACAGCTGCGCTGAAAATTTGAAGACACATGCAAATGTGTCAGTTGCACAAATGAAGAAAAATTTATCAGTTCCCATATATTGTCAGTATTGTTATTTGTTTTGTGTACGTAAATCTTACGAAGATGCGGGGGGGGGGGTGATAACAGGTCCGAGATAACGTGGATGTTATTAGAGGGAAGAGCGATGAGCAGGGATAAGATGCGATCAGTGAACGAGAAGATGTAAAAGTTATATTGAGTGATAATATTGACGTATCGATTTCTCAAACACGAACGTCTCACCAGTAACGATAACGAGATCGATTGTATACATCGGTGTTACGATAATCACGAGGACACGTTCAGCGCTGTTTGAACAAAGTCAATTATTCCTCGGAGGTTTGCGCCGCGAGGTAACGGCTGGTTCGATGAAGTGACTCACGAAGTGCAGGGTTGGGTAGTGTCTAGTTAAAAAAATAAAAGTTAAGTTAAAAAGTTGAATAATTTTAACTTAACTTAGTTACATTATAACCTGATAACTTTTAACTGAATTTAGTTACATTTTATCGGTAACTTTTAACTTTTAATTTACCTTTCTTAAAGCTATGATAAATCTTAGCTATGCTGTAAACAAAGGCATTACAAGACGCCTCGCGTCTGCCTACATTAGCAGTTTCTGTGTTCCAAAATTCACTGCCTGCGCTAAAAGTCTACAGTATACGTTACATGCACTGTAGATCTTCAGCGCTGACAATGAATTTTGGAACACAGCCATTATATGGAGTTTTGATGCTCGTAATCACGTAAAATTGTTCACATATGAAATGGGCCATATTCCGTGTAGTGATTGATTGTCCAAACGCTGGTCGTGAAATTCAACGCAATTTACGTTATCGCGAGTCTCTGAGATTTTATATAAAAATAAAACAAATTTAACTTTTAACTTTTTAATTTCTTTTATTATTAACTTTTAATTCAATTAATTTTATTATGAATTAACTCGTATCTTAACTAAGTTAAATTTTCAAGGCTGTTAACTTTAACTTAACTTAGTTAAAAAAAAAGATAACTTACCCAACCCTGACAAAGTGATACGTGAATCAATCGATTCCGTAGACGTCGCCGCCTTTGCGGTAATCGGCGTTCGCGAAAATGGTCGAATTTTCATACAGCACGACGCAGGCTACGCTGCCACGGACTCTATAACGTTCCATGGCGTGTCCCAAACGTTTCAGGCCGTCGACCACCTGCTTAGGGACCCCGTATTCGTAGAACAGCTTAGGCGGAAATAGCTGGTGGTGTATCCTTGCCGAGTCCACCGCCTCCTTGACTGTCTGTCCCATCCACAGTATCTTTGCCGTCACCTGAAAGCGTGCGGGCTTATTATTTGAGAACTATTTGTTTATTTATCAAGTCCGGTCAAATAGACATCTTGCGGGCTATTAAACATTTAGCGTTACTGACTTGCGACACTGCTGTCGTAATTCTCGTACCACCCGCAGCACCCATGATCATCTTGACGTCACCGTGCTGATCAACCAGAACGGACGGCACCATCGAGGACAACGGCTGCTTCTTGGATGCGATATAATTGTTGGGGCTTGGCGGCATACCGAAATAGTTGAACCGCGGTAGAATGCCGAAGTCGTCCATGCCGTTATTTAATAAGATACCGGTTCTTCTGCTGACTATTCCGCTTCCAAAACTGCAAAATCGTCAAATGGAAAGGATACTTTAACGATCCGCAAACAACGCAACTTTAGGTGGAATGCTCGCTTACTAATAGTTGATGGTGCTGGTAACCGATACCGCATCGCCATTCGGTGTCAGCACTGATACGTGCGCTGTACCGTGATCCTCGACATTAGCGTAGATAGGAGAACCATAGTGCTGTGGATCCTGCCACGTTTTCGTATCGTCTATTTTTTCTCGTATCGCGCGCGCGAAGCTCTTCGACGTGAGGTTTCTGATTATCTTCAAATAAAAATATCACAGTTATTAATTGGTACGTACTCAGTAAGGTTCAAGAATAAGAGGGATATTTACTTCAGTCATATCAACGAAAGCTCCGTCGCCGAGATTTGTCCTTAACGCAAATGCATACTTAAACGTCTCTATCATTCTGTGATATGTGAGGACTGTCGCGTTAAAATCGGCTATGCTGGCCGGCGTGAAGCCGTAATCGTCGAAGACATTGAGAATAAACGAGAGGAGAGCTCCGCTACCGGGTAGTCCTGTAGTCAATAGTTTTATCCCGCCCGAAAGATCCGTCTGTATCGGTTGATCCCATGAAACCCTGGACAAAGATAACAGGGATATATATATATATATATACAGGGTGGGCCATTTTAATTTATACAGTCGATTTTTTAAAAAACTAAAAGAGATATGAAAAAATGTTTCAGACAAAAGTTGTATGGTTTCAAGGGGGACATAAGATGGTACCATAGGTTTGACCTTGAAGAGTAATTTGAAGGTCACATGAAGGTTACCTTCAATTTCTTAAATGGAACCTACTATTTCTCGTTACATATTTTTGTA